GGGGCATTATGATATTGGCTGATATGTTTTCAATACCCTTTAATCCTCAGCATAGCATTGGCCTTTTTCACTGCAGTTGCACACTGTCTCGACATTTTCAGTGAATTATCTACTACGACTCCAAGATCTCTCTCTTGGTCAGTCTCTGCCACTTCGGACCCCATCAGTGTGTATTTATAGTTAGGATTTTTGGCTCCAATGTGCATCACCTTGCACTTGGCCACATTAAATCCCATTTGTCACGTTAATGCCCATGTGCCCATGCGCCCATCCTCAACAGATCCCTTTGGAGTGCCTCAATCCTCCCTGGTATTCACCACCCTGAACAACTTCGTATCATCCGCAAATTTAGCAACTTCACTGCTTACTCTGAACTCCAAATCATTAATGAACAAGTTAAAAAGCATCGGACCCAGTACTGATCCCTGCTGTACCCCACTGCTTACCACCCTCCACTGAGAAAATTGCCCATTTATACTCACTTTCTGTTTCCTATTGATTAGTCAGTTTTTGATCCACAAAAGGACTTGTCCTTTTATCCCATGATTTTTGAGCTTACTTAGGAGCCTTTGATGAGGAACTTTAGCAAAGGCTTTCTGGACGTCAAGGTAAACAATATCTATTGGGTCCCCCTTGTCCACATGTTTGTTCACTCCCTCAGAGAACACTAAGAGGTTAGTGAGACAAGATCTTCCCTTACAGAAACCATGCTGAGTCTGCCTCAATAGTTTTTGTTCATCAATGTGCGTACTAATTCTTTCCTTAATAACAGTTTCCACCAATTTACCTAGTATCGACGTCAGACTGACTGGCCTGTAATTTCCCGGATCTCCTCTGGAACCCTTTTTAAAGATGGGAGTGACATTAGCTACCTTCCAGTCCTCAGGAATGGAGGCAGATTTTAAGGAAAGATTACATATTTTTGTAAGGAGATCCACAAGTTCACATCTGAGTTCATTCAGAACTCTCGGATGTATGCCATCTGGGCCTGGTGATTTATCAGTTTTTATGTTGTCTATCAGTTGTAGGACCTCCTCTCTCATCACCTCAATCTGACTCAGGTCTTTCAACACCCCTCCCGAACTCAGCGGCGCTCCCCAAAATAAAGACTAGACAGATTTTGTTAGTTGGCACACCTGTTTTTTGGAGGGCTCCTCCTCCTCCTCTCTCTCCGCTTCCCTACGTATTATTATTTTTTGGGAAGGCTCCTGTGCCTTGGAAGGTCATGACTGACCGGCAGGAATTCAGGAGAGCCGTTTCTTCACATCTCACCGCTTGGGTTCCTGCAGCTGTTAAAGGAGCAGGCACCTTGCTAGGAAAAGCTGTTGGTGGTTTCTCCATACTCCACTCATGGGTTACCCTTTGCTGATAAGAACTGGGGCATATCTGTTTAGTGGTTCACAGCTCTTTTTTTAAACGGTGATGTCAGGGGGTGTGGCCTTATGACACACTTCCGGTGATGTCAGGGGGTGTGGCATATGCTAATGAGTTATGCTAATGAGTTCCCCTAGCTCTTTTTCTACGAAATGACCCCTGGAAGTTACCCCTTTTGAGCATTCATCACCTTCCAAATGGATTCCTTCACCCTAGACTTTCTTTTGTGGGTTGAAGAAACCTGGAACCTACATGGCTGTTCTGGCTACTGAAGCCAAAACTGGCAACACGCAGAGGAATATAAAAACTTCTTAGCTTCTTACATGGTCCCCAGGTCTCTCCCCTGGTAGGTTCCGTGACCATCTGCTCCATAGCACAGTCATTGAGTGTCTAGAAACTCAATCTCTTTTTCCCGACTAGAACACATATTGACCCAATCACTTTGTATAGAAAAAACCTTGACACACTTCTTTTGCAAATTGATGCTAAAGACAAGGGGGAAAAGGAAAGCAAATTATTTACAACACCCCCTGACATCACCGGAAATGTGTCATGTTGTAAATTTAATAGACTTGCTTAGACTGTAGTCTCTCTCACCTTTCCTCCTCTCTTTCTCTCTCACTCTCACACATGTAGGGTTGCCAAGTCCGACTTACCTTGCCGGCGGGGGACTCTGGGGTGGCTCCCGGCGCGTGCGCGTCGCATGCACATCACAGGGAAGTGACGTCATGACGCCGGGCACGGTGGGGGCGGGGGCATGACCATACAAGGGAAAACCATAGAGTTTTCCCTTGTATGGCCGTGACCCCGCCCCCAGCATGCCCGGCGTCATAACGTCACTTCCCTGTGATGTGCACGCTGGGGCGGGGTTCCCCCCGGGGCCCGATTCCCCGGTGTTGGGGAACGGGCCTCTGGGGCGGGGGGATTTCCGCCCCCCGGGGGGACTTGGCAGCCCTACACACGTGTGCACGCATATACAACCCCAGGTTCTCCAGGGGAAGATACCCTGCCCTCTTTGCCACAGCTAGTTCAAAGCTGCAGGTACAGGTGGATCAGGAACCCCCTAATCAATCCCTTTTACCTCCATGCAGTGAGCCAGAGTTGAAGCTTGAACCAGGCAGAAAAGCACAGGCCTGGCAGCCCAAGGCCTTCCATACTCCTGTTGCACTCAAAAAGAAGATTCGTCTCGCCAAATCTTTGCAGGATAAGAGATGTAACTTGCTACAGGAAGGGGTTGGAATTATCAGTTGCCTTAATAAACCTTCAGTTGAGCTTCAGCCTCTCCTATAAACCAGCTTGTGCTTTGTGCTGAACAGCTTCATGTGGCAAGGATTCTAGTTCTCCTGGCCATGGATCTTAGAGGCCTGCAGGAGACCTGGTGCCTTCACCCCTGGCTGGCCAGGCACAGAATGGGACGCAGCCCAAGGGGGCATTTCTGGTCAAGAAGAGTTCTATCCCCTCCCATTCTCTAATGCTATGGCTCTGATATGAATCAGGACACCCCTGTGGCTGCTTTTTGCCATTGAATTAGGCATCTGGGAATCTGTATGCAGATTCCCAGCATTTCCTGTAGCTTGCCCTTTAGTTTGGTACTGCAAACTTTTATAATCCGAAGATACAACATCTATAACCATATTAGAAAGGGACAATATTTAGGTCCTCCATCGGTGATATCTTTGCCACCTAAAATCAATCATGCTGCTAAATAGTTTGTTCCATTTTTGAGGGCTCAATGGTTTACTGTATTCACCGTTCTGCTAAAACTGGTAGGATCATACTCTGTTAAATGCTCTCGAAGGTGACAGTTCTGGGGTTTAATACTTCTTTTCACATTTGATACGGCATGTGATTTATGGATACTCAGTAAAAATGTGGTTCCTCAGAAACTGTAGTGGTTATTTTAATTTTAATTAATTACATCACCTATTTCTTTTACATAACTGTAACAGCGCTTTTTCTCTCTGGCTCTTTAATGTATTTAGACTTTGCAAATAATGCTACTCAACAACACAAATAAAAGCTTGGTTTCCAAGCTTCTGTAACCATTCCTTTAAAAATATATATGTTTTATTAAATATTTCAGTATTTATATTCTGTAACCATTCCGATAGTCTATGAATAATAATTATTATTCCAAGAGTGTTCCTCTCTGTGTGTGTTTTTAATGTGATATGCGGCCTGTCTCTCTGAATTAGGAAGTTTAGAGATCTGTTGCTTACTACAAAGGACCCAGAGTGCTTAGTATGAGACAGCAGATGTTCTTGGTGCAATCTGATAGTTGTTGTGGTTTTCTTTGCTTTACATTTGCTAATATGTAGTGGAAGATAGTGAACCAGGTTTATGAGACCAAGGCCTCTGATGAGCTCCAAAGCACTTTACCTTGGATTGATCCCTGACCCGAATAAAGAACAAACTGTTCTGCAGTAAAATTGTTCCATTGTGTGCTGAAATTTCCCATTTAGTTGTGTGTCAAAATAGCACTGGATAGGATCAGTGTTGTATTATCTATCTCAATCAAATCTTCACAATGCTAGGGTTTAAAAAACAAATATAAAGTTCTCAAGGGGAAACTAATATAAACCTTGAGGATACGTACAATGAAAACAGTATCCCTGTTAAGTACCATCTCAGGAAGTAAGCAAAGCATAAGCATGGTTCAGACATAAGGACAAAACCATAGTTTGCCATTGCATGAATGAGCCTAGGGCATCCTTGAGCTCTTATGCTTCATCACCACTCTCCTAGTTCACAGGATGCTGAATAATAGTTCCACAACCAGAGTTTGGTATTATGTCCAAATCACAAATTAAGATTTGTTTTCTAGCTTAATCTTGGGTTGCTTACTGTTCTGGAGACAGGAGAAGAAGCTGTAGTTTATGGTTCAGATGGCATGACAGTATGGTTTATCACACACACAAAATTATTAAACTCCGGGCAAAAGGCAGAAGAAAGGAGATAGTGTGAGGGTGATCTCATGTGCCTTGATATAGTGGGTGTGTAGTGACAGTGCATTTATTAAATTACTATATGTATATCCCCCTCAGTTCCTTGGGGTAAGTTCCTTAAGCATGTATTTCTTGTTCGTTTGTTTCCACTCCAAGAAAACCAAGCATCTGTGACCAAATTGCATCGGTTAAGGCAATTATCTACTTAATTTTCTTTTTTTTTAACCTTCTAATTATGAGCCATATGTCTAGTATGAGCTCCTTCACCTCATTTAACTTGGTCATGTTTATTCCAGGAGATAAGCAACAGATGGATGTGTGGTAGACTGTGAAGGGAATAGTTGCCTGTATGGACTCAGTATGTATTTAGTAGTTTACAGAACAATTGGGTATGATGTGTGGTATTTGTTATGCCCTGGCAGTATATCATGAAATCCCTTGACAACTGGAGACACCACACAAGTGAACTCAAATCAGCTACTCTCTGCCATTTCCCTTCCTAAAAGATTGTAAGCAGGAGCCTAATGCTGCGGTAATCAAAACACATTAGGAACTTAGTCCTAAGGGGGAAAATAAATTAAGATAAAATATTCTAAACCTGCTGAAATGATCTTGAGAATGCATGCCTAACACTGGCATGTCCTTCAATAGCTTTTTGAATTATTTCTGGTTTTTTTACAGGTCACAATGACTACATGTGTCCTGCTACCAACCAGTGCACCATTGACAAGAACCGAAGGAAAAGCTGCCAAGCGTGTAGGCTGCGAAAATGCTATGAAGTTGGAATGATGAAAGGTGGTAGGTACCCAGCCATCGGCTCAGGCCTTCACTGCATAATCTGCCAAATTTTTAAGGAGAGTGGCAATATGATGAGATCTACATTTTAAAAGGAAATTGGCGTGTGGGGAGTGGGCAGCGGGAGCAGCAGCTAACCTTTTGTATTCCTTTACATTTATAGAGCAAGGGTGTCTCATAACATCTGAACTAGATGTTACACGTGACTCATGGCCGCCATGGGGACTTGCAGTTGAAAGTTCCTTGTGGGAACTCAGTCCTGATGTGCCACAAAAGCCCAATTTGGATCAGGACTACGGCATAGGGGAAGGAAGAGTTTTAGCCTTCCCCCCAGGGCTGTTTTCCTGACTGTAAACAGCCCTGTGGGCATCCTTTTCCTACACTGGTTCTCTTGCACATGCAAGTATTCAGTATTCAGCTGAGGAAAATGGCATGGGCAGGATAGCTGAAGCCTCTTCTCCCCCTCATCACAGTCCCAATTCAAATTGGGCCCCGCAGCATATTGGGATTGAGTTCTCACAGTTAACTTGCATCAGCTGTGTGACTGCAAGCAGCCACAAGTTCGATGTAATGTCTAGGTTGACTCTAGTCCAAGGTTTATTAGGAGGAAAAATGTGTACCCTGGATTTGTGTCATTCTGTAATATTGTAGGCAGGCCCTTAGGTGCAGTGAATTAATCACCAGAGTCTATTTTTAGATAGACAAGTACAGTTTGATGTAGTGGTTAAGAACAGCAGACGCTAATCTGGAGAACCAGGTTTGATTTCCCACTCCTCCGCATGAAGCCAGCTGGGTGACCTTGGGCCAGTCACAGTTCTCTCAGAACTCTCTCAGCCCCACTTACCTCACCGGGTGTCTGTTGTGGGGAGAGGAAGGGAAGGAGATCGTAAGCCGCTCTGAGACTCCAAGTGAAAGGCGGTGTACAAATCCAACCCTTCTTCTACAGTTGGCAAAGGCAGCTTTAAAGAAGGGGTAACTAATGATGTGAACATGGGGATGCCTTAGGGTCATTATATACAATTAGGGTTGCCAGTTCCTGGTGGGGAAGTACCTGGAGATTTTGGGGGTGGAGCCCAAGGAGGGCAGGGTTTGGGGAGGGGACATAGAGTCCACCTTCCAAAGCAGCCATTTTCTCAAGGTGAACTGATCTCTGTCACCTGGAGATCAGTCTTAGTAGTGGGAGATCTTCATACAATCCTCTCTGTATACTGGTGTTGGTTACTTGTCTCAAGTGAAAATTTGGTCATATAGTGAAGCCGCAACATGTCTCTGTTCAGCCCACACACTGGAATTTGAAAATTAGGTTGTCCTCAAAACAAATCATCAGGCCAGGCATGAAACACTCTTGAGTAAGAGTAGAGAAACTGTTTCATAACTGCATATTCCTTGCTTCCACATATATATATTGTACTCATCCTAAATGGATTTTGGATAGAAGACAAGCACAGTACAGCTCTAGATTAGTCTCTCCTTTCCTTGTATTCTGCTACTTACCACCTAAGCCTGATAGCGGTACCCAGAGCTAAATTTGAGTAACTTCATAAAAAAACAGGCTTCAAGGAAAATAGTTTAAGTTATTGTTGATGTCTTCTAAATACATTTCTGTGAAACAGCTTTGGAAGAGCATCTTGGACAGTTCTTTATAGTGACATTTTCTGGGTCCACATTCAACTCTGTGAAGAGCTTCCAAAGCTCATTCTTTATTTGTCCAGGTGGGGAGTTTGGCTAGTCTAAATTAACTAGCTGAAGCTTCATGATTTTAAGTCTGTAAAGTTTTATTAACACTAACTATTTTACGTCCTACTACTGTTCTTCATTAAAGCATATATTTAAAACTGTGGCTTGCTTCTTTGGGTTCGAACATTCAAAAATTACTCATCTAATCTCTTATTTTGAACCATGTTGTGATGAGAATTTTGTTAAATGCTGAACAAATTAGACAGGGAAAACACAGCATTATTGAGGGAAAACTCTGAAGCAAAGATGAACTAATGTTTTAATGCATCATCTGGAACTGCTCCAAGAATTCCAATTTGCCCGGCAATTACCTGGTAATGCAACATTATTTTATACTACAAATAGTACATAGTGAATGAGGAAGAAAAATATAGTCTAGCTTTAGAAAAATGTATTCCTTCTGAAGTAAACCTCTATAATATTTGCTAAATACCCTGTTCTTTCCTAATGCAAAACAGTACAAGTGGTAGGCACTGATATAGCTATTAGTACTTGTGTATTTAAAGAGCCAGTTAATTGAAAGTGTACTGCCTTAGAAACTTGTTCATCCCCTGCAAATATAAACAGAATGTGCCGTCACCTCAGCTATTCCTCACAGTACAGCCTGTTACCTTTTACTGTGAGAGAAGTGCCGTTTGCCAAAGGAAAGTAGTGAATTGTGTCTTCCCCCATGCCCAAACCTCGACCAAATGAGCTTTGTCTGTTCTTGCTCTCTAATGGCTCTCCCACCCAGCTCTGTCCCTGCTTCCTGACAATGTAATTTGCAATTGTGCTAATACTTTGACCATTTAATATGAAAACCCCACTTTAAACAAGCCAGGTCCTTGCTGTTTGTGAAGGCAACTGTACTTGTTGACACATAGGATCTATGATTCTATGATTCTATGATTCTACATACCAAATAGTGACCTGGGCACATCCACTTTCATCCAGTGCTAACCAGTGGTAAGCAAGAGAAGAGCTGATGCTGCCATGGGATGGGCCATTCTTCAATCATTCTTCCAGTGACAGGTGCCTCAACCACACCTTTCTAAGATAACTGTTCACTAATCTCCAACATGCAGAGAGGCTCATGAAGAAGCAGGTGCATTATTTGGACAAATAATTAGCACATCTTCACCGTCACTGACCATCAGGACTTGTACCTATTAAATTCCTTAGGAAAGCAACTGGAGATCCTTCTGGCAGACCAGAGAACAAAGAGGAGGTACTCCTGCTCCTTCACTTATAAAAACTGCATAAAAACAGTGAAAGGGCTGATGTGTCCCAGCCTTTACAGAGCATTTTGATCTGTGCAGGCAAAGTACCATAGATGTTGTCGAAGGACCTTGACACAGAGAGTACTCCATCTTTCTGTGTTATACCTCTGAGGATGCCAGTCACAGCTGCTGGCGAAACATCAGGTCCTACAATGCCAAGACCATGGCCATACAGCCTGGAAAATCTACAACAACTAAAGTACCATATATTTGACTGTACCATGTAATCAGTCCTGTAGCCGTGGGGCATGGGGGTGGATGGCTTTCTTTTCTTTTTTAAGTACATCTCTAGCCTTTTTGTTGCAGAGTTATAAGCTGTTCTGTCTCAATTGCCTGGGGAGGAATAGAGAGGGACATTTGCAAGGCGGCTGGAACTGAACAGGTCCTGGCCACATTCATTCTCTTCCATTCTGTCCCATAACTTTTCTCCCCAGGATCATTTGCTTCTTTCTTTTTGATTTTTATCCGCTTCATATCCACTGTTAAAAAGAAACAACATTGAGCACAAAACTAGATTGAGATTTATACTGTGTTAGGTTTACCTCCTCTGTTTTTAGTGGGAACTTTGCTTTAGGAGTAGGTAGGGCCATGGGTGGGGGAGGAGCAAAAATGAATGCCCAGTTTTGTGTAGCCTGGAATCTGGATTTAATCATTGATTGCAAACCATCTTCCTATACTTTCCCTATATCTGAGCATGTGCAGAGAGTCTTTTACTCACCAGTGAATAACCACTGTCAAACACCTATCCTCAACCCCTATCCTGCCCCCCCCCCCCGCCACCAAGTCTGGGATCAGGGCTAAAGGACTGAAGAAGCATAATGCTCAGGCAGATTTAAACTACAGAACCTGTTACAACAGAAACATAAGTACTTTATTACAACAGGACAAAAGGTTCGAGGGGGTATATTATTCAGACAATCTCCTGCTATAGGAAAATCTATCCTTTAGCGGGCTCTTAATAAATCTGTGCCAACAATCAGTTTCCTGAAAGCTGAGAATTCACACATTCTGCATATGTGCAGAGTACTTTTTCCTTACTTGTACAGTAATCATACATATCTATATACCTAGTATTAGGGGATGTATTTCTAGGTTGGAGAAAATGAATTGCATACAGGTATAAAAACATAAAAAGAGTCTGTTAGATCAGATCAGTGTTCCATCTTGTCCAGCAGCCTGTTTCACACATCAGCCAACCACTTACCCTGGAGGTCCATTAAACAGGCCATAGAGGCCAAGGCTTTTGTTGCCTCCTAGTGCTAGTATTAAGAGGCTGCCTGCCTCTGAATATGTAAGTTCCTTTTAGTCTCCATGGCTGGTAGCTGCTGATAGACCATGGATCGGTCTAACCCCCTTTTAAAGCCATCCATACTTGTGGACCTAAGAACATCCACAGGCTGTGAATCCCACAATTTAATTACTCTTTGAGTAAAGATGTATTTCCTTCTGTCCGTCCTGAATCTTTTGGACATCAATTTCATTGTGTACCCCAGAGTTCTGACCAGGGTTCTTTTTGTAGAAAAAGCCCAGCAGGAACTCATTAGCATAATAGGCCACACCCAACACCAGAAACTCATTAGCATATTAGGCCACACCCCTGCCAGCACAGCTCATTAGCACATTAGGATGCACCCCCATGTTACCAGAAGTGTGGTTATCCAGCCACACCCACCTTTTGCTTGTTATTCTGTTTACCTTGTTTGTTGTCAAAACCCAGGGCTTTTTTTGTAGCAGGAACTCCTTTGCATGTTAGGCCACACACCCCTAATGAAGCCAATCCTAATGGATTTCTGCTGTTAGGTGTGGCCTGTTATGCTAATGAGTTCCTGCTGGGCATGGCCAACTCGGGAGCCAGCTGGAACTCCATTCCTGTGCGTTCCTGCCCCCAAATAACCCTGGTTCTGACTATACAGAGGTATGATGCAGTACATACCTAGTGTTATGTGATGGTACTGCAATTAATTTTACTATTCAGTGTGACATCACCAGGCCCCATCCCATGATATC